ATTATAGTTCAATCAAGAACCTGAAATTTATGTGTCATTTGATCCTATATTGCGTAGGCATATGCGGCTAGATGAAAACTGGTTTGAACTAAAATACACATAAGTAAATGATGTTCAAAATTTCAATATTTGGAATCAGAAAAAAAGCGATTATCATCTTCAATAAAGGTGTACAGGGTATGCCTTTAGATAAAATATAGCTTTATTTGATAGTACTAGACAGATAAGTATGTAAAAAAAAAATTGCATGTTAAACTTTATATTACAACTTTTGTATAAAGCATTTCTAAATGGTTATATAATAAAGTTAAGAGAGTAGTCAATTTATAGCGGATCACCCCGTGAATATAATTATTTTACTATGGGGTGTAGGACTCCTAAATTAATTTTTGGATCAATTTAAAATAACCGAATACCAGTTAACAATAGCAAGGCAGCCGTTTAACTGGAGCACTTCACCCTCTTTGCTCTTCTCCCTTCCTTGCTTTCTTTCTTCATTCTTTCTTTCTCCCTTACTTCATCTGGTATCTGGGCACCCAGACCTGACATACCTACTAACTTACGATAGAGCGAAGGTTTCACGGATCCCTCTGACGGTAGATTGTCCAACAGACAATGGAACTGATTTCGTAACCAGCGGTTCTCTGTTTCAACAAATTCCATACTGATTCTCAGCCGGTACTAAACTTTTTCTAACAGTTTTGGTTCTGAGACACAATTAAAAGTTTGAATCTGCTAGCGCATGCGGGCTTCCAGAATGAATGCTACTCACAGCTGGGAAGCTTGGTTTTGTGGCCGCCACTTTGTGCCTTTTATAACATTTTCATCTTATGATGTAACACCGCTAGATCTCAACCATTTATTGTGCCGTTTATTGCACATATGCGAAAACTTGATGACGATCACGATTACTATGTAACAGATTCAAGTGAAGATGAAGATGTTAAGTTGATTGTGGCGACTTCAAGTACCATCAATGAAAATTATAATATGTAAGGATGGATAATTCTAATAAATACGTTTTTACCTTGTTATTACTTTGCCCAATAAAGTCATCTCGAGTGTAGAAATACAGTTACGAGTAGAATTAGTTGCCAGACTAAACATGTTGCCAATGCCCCATTGAAAAAGGTACGAATAATTTGTATATGGTTGAATTTTGGAGATGGTCGCATCAAGGCTATCTATTCCACCCAATTTCTCCTAGTAAATATATAGCACATTATTTTTTGATTCCCTTTGGAACTACAGACCTACATCCGACCCCAATATCACATTCTCGTTGTCTTGGCCTTATTTCCTGCGATTCCGCGTTATAAGAGCTATTTCCGGTGTGTCCGGATTTTTTTACGATCACAATTCGTTCCAGATGATTCCGCGCGTATGTTTGATGCTCAGTTTTCCTGGCGAGCATTATTCTACTTCAAACCGGTGGAAGAGATGATATCGGAAAGCAGAAGAGTGCCGGGGAGTTTTCATTTCCTGTTTAGGAATATATGAGGACGCTGTTCTGTTTGTCTGTTTGCCGCCGTACTTGGTAGGTAGACGGTCGCGGAAAATAGAATTTTCTTTTTTATTGCAACGAGATGAACGAGAACAGTGCGTCCCTTGATCTCTGCCCGTTATTGCAGAGTCAAATAGATTTGTTATAGGATTGTCGTATTTTGAAGCTGCTTTACTGTAGGAAAAGATCAGCTCACCAAAAGTGGAATTACTTATAAAATGTTTCCCTTCTAAGCACGACTCACATTGTTATACAACATAGCTGGTATGATTAAATCATTGAAGAAATTACCGAAAAAAGTAAATAGGGTGCATGAGATTTATTTTCTAGTTCATTTATATCATTTACAGCTCCTTTTGTTTGCAAAATAGTGAGTTAATAGTATAACTTGAAGGGCGTTCTACTTGATAAAATACAAAAACATAAAAATAAAGAATCCCACCCTATAATTCTGAGTACCCAATACATCTTTCGTTCAGATTTAGCCATTACTGTGTTAAATGCTGATCAAAACCTGATAATAAACCTTGAAGTTTTGAGTTTCGTGCCACAAAAACTGCTAAAAATAAGACTCTTAAGTATATAAAAATGTTTAGGTGAAAAATCAAAAGAGGCTCAATCGATCTATTTTGATAATTGAGGGGTCTGGAAGTGAAAAGGTTCAAGTGCACTTTTTTAAGCAAATGGTAAGTAAAGTGCAGAATATCATTCCTAAAGCATATCCTAACTTGGTGGTAAAATGATTTTAATGCAGGCAACGTTCCCTGGCGCCATCTCTCATAGTCTTTGAGAACATATCAAAATATCCACTAATACAGTATGTGGTAAAATGATTCAAGTGCACTTGAACTATATATTTTACTTCTAAGGCTTTGGCAACTATTTTTAATGTTTTACGTGTGACGTGATTTCAACGTTTTACTTATTCTTAGTTAAAAATACGCATTTTTCAGTGTTGGTAGTGTTATAATATATATACAAAATGAGTACTGATTGGGAACGCAAGGTATCTCTCAGGAGAATTAAGTATCAAATCAAATTATATCAGGAGTTTTGTATTGACAAACAAGAATGACCAGTAAAAATTGCAGGCATATTTTCAATATGGAATTCAGTTTAAGATTCCACAAGCCCTATAGTAATTAATACCTTTGTCACAATTTACAAAATTTAATAAAATTTTCTACAAATGAAGACGTGATTAAAAATGCCAAGCAAGACCTCGAGCTGCACCAAAGAAAGGCTCAGAAAGCAACAGATGCCAAAAAAGCTGATATTGCTGAAAATAAAAATGATTCTAAAAATACGGCTGTTATCTGTTTTGATTTGCAACAGGCATCGCCGACGCCATTGTTAACCACCTCTAAAATCTTTTATCTTCGTCAATTATGGACGTATAACTTCTGTGTCTTTGACTTAATGACTGGAAAAAGTTATATGCATGTATGGAACGAAACTATTACATCCAGGGGCTCACAGGAGATAGGCCCATGTTTAATAAAATTTGTGCAAAGTCTTCCATCTACAGTTACGAAGATTATTGCATACAGTGATTCGTGTGGAGGACAAAATAATAATAAAAACATTTCTAAACTATTTAGTTTTATTGTTCAAGCTTCACATATATCTGAGATTCATCACAAGTTTCTTGAACCCGGGCACACTTACATGGAATGTGACCGTAGTTTTGGCTTAATCGAGAAGAAAAAAATGCAAATCCCTCAAGTTTTTGTCCCCGCAGATTGGGAGACTGTAATAAGAGGCACATTGGCCAAATTTATTGTGTACAATATGAACAAAGACGATTTTTACTCTTTTTCGCCGTTCAGTGAAATTATGAACGATCCAAAAAAAATAGTGACGGTTACCCCTTAAAAAGGAAAGAAATTTGCTGGTTTGCTTACTATAAAAGTGAAAGACTAACATTTCGATACAAGAGTACTCTAAACATTGATGTAGAGTTTAGCAGTTGCTTAATGGCAACCTCAAAAGTTGGGCGTCCGTGTTTTAACTTTTCAATACTAAAGCCTTTGAATGGCACTTCAATAAAGATTAAAGTCGCTAAGTACAAAAACTTGCTTAGCTTATTGGAATACATCCCGCCCATTCAGCATACATTTTATAAAAACATGAAGGACGATGGGAAAGCATTAACAAAAAAGGAATAAAGAAACAAACACAGACCCTGACATCAAGCCAAAAAGTACCTCATATAGATGAACCCCAACCAAGACCAACTGATTCAGATGAAGAAAATGATGAAGACATCCAAACATTAGATTCTGATTATGAATAAGAAATTTTGTTATATATTATTTTTAAATAATGTTTGGTTTAGTACGGTAGTTGCACTTAAATCATGTTACCACCATAATTTTTGTAACATGTATAATGATTCAAGTACATTTTTGCAAAAATGACAATAAAAAAGCAAAATTAAGAAAATGTTTTTTGTTTGTAATGTTTTATTTGCATTTAAATAAACTTAATATAGTATCATAAATTTATTCTGGAATTTTCAAATTCAAGTAAACTTTGAAGCCATTTATCCCAGAACTACTAAAAATGTACTTAAACCCTTTTACTTCCAGGCCCCTCAATTAATTACTACTATTCATTGGATTTTTTTGTATTTAGTCAATCATGCCAATGTGCAACCCAAAAACTGTGATAAAAAACATAAAAGTGAAAAATATCGAGACGGATAATTTTTTTTTTTCGTCGTCTAGTTTACGTCACTCCTACGTAACCTTGTCGTACAGGTGTACAAAATTTCAAAAAAAGCGGTCCAACCGACCTGTGATATTAAAGATTTGGCATACCTGGCAAAAGCAACTCTGCTGCAATTTATTCTACGATTTATGATTCATAAAAATCCAGTTTTATCTGGAAAATATACCTACAGATTCAAGCGGCCAGATCTTAGACTGTTATAAAAGTGGACCTGTTAAAGCACGGCATTGCCAGATGGTTCGAACGGAATTTTCCCAGAACAAGCACAAATACACCATTTAAAAAAAAACACACAAATCATAGTAAATTAATGAAAAGGAGTAGGTCTGGTTCAAACGTTTGATTTTCCCCAGAATATTTTATGCCCAAAAAGTTCCCCAAGCAACAATCCCCAAAATTTAAAGGAAATTTCCCAATATGGCAACCCTCTTAAAGCACCACTGGTACTGCATTACCGTAGTTTATTCTGGCATAAAGGAAAGTGTTGATTGGACTCAAATGGACACAGTAGAAGTAGCACACACCTCACGCTAGATGGCGCAACTAACAACAGGATCTTCTCATTCTATGTTCTGAGCATGTCCTGTTGTTCCGTGTCGTGAGTGCCTGACAATTGGCACTTCAATACTTTGAAAGTGCTTCGTATTATAAAAATATCAATCCTAGACCTGTTCGACGATGCGATATCACTCAGTACTTCTAAGTAAGGTCCTTCGGTATTCTAATATATACATTTGGCTAACTATGAATAAATTATTTTCAGAATGGTCCAAACAAATAAATATTGCTTCGTCAAAGGATGCAATCACCAGATCCAAAAATATCATTGCATATAATCCAGTAATGGGCAGCAGCGAGACAGGCAACGACAAAATCAACAATTTGGCAACTGAATCTAGCGTTATGTTTGTTGAAGGAGTGTAGTTATGGAAAGGTGAAGTTACGCACCCTTACATCCTGCCATTGAATCTTGTATTTGTATTTTATTTATATCAATCACAAGTTACAGATTTGATAACTAAGACGTGTTATTCACTAACTTGTTTAGTTCTCTTGAAAATAACAGAAATCGTACACCCAAGGTTTTCGTTTTAGTTACAAACATCTCACACGAACACGGGCCAATTTTTTTACACTGGCCGTCTGCTCTGAAGAGGAGGGTACTGTGATTTCCGCCTCAACGTATGACAAAGTCTAATCGAGCCTTACCCAGATTGGTTCGATTTGCCCTGAGGCTGTTACCGATCGGTCACAGACCGAAGTGCAGGTCGTTCGCGGTCCGTCGTAGACGAGCAAGTTAACGGAGCTAACGGTTAACGGCGGGCTAACGGCCGTTTTACTTTCTTCGCCGGATTAGAAACGTACCGATTTAACGGCCGACTTCGAACGAACGCATTCGCCGAAATTCAATTAAATTCGGGAGTTTATCGAGCGGATATACACGACGACGCGACGCGTTTGCTGCTCCCTTCAAGCTTTCGAATGAGTCGAAGGAAGGGTGAGAGTATACAGAATCCAAGGAGTAGTCACAGAGAACCTTTACTTATCATACTAAGGTCACACGCCGGAGATTTGCTGGCTCCGCTACGTACCTGCGCTCACATCCGGTCATCCGCGATTGAACCGCTCAGCTACAGCTTATCCGAATCTATCCGCTCGGCTGGGCTCTCTTAGGAAGAAACAGGTTACATGTATGGCTTTCAGCAGGCGGTGATGAAAGTTTGGTGAGACAATTCGATATTGCCTCTAATCAAGCGATATAGGCAACTGTTGTGTCCCTCAGAATTTATCCATTCTCAATGTAACTGTCCATAAAGGAGTCCTACAGGTGAATTGGAATCAAGCAAATGAATGTACAAAGACTCTGATAGCCTGCCATACCTGCACTTCTCGCGCAAGGGTGACATCACCCGTTGAGCCAGCTACAAACATGTATAACAAAAAAAAACAGGTCAAGTCGAACCCAACGATTTGATAACGCTATTTTTTTTCCGACCGACCATTTGGCAACGTTTCTGAACCACACCAGTTAAATGTACGATACTAGATTCGTAGTCCATTTACTCCCAGACAAAATACAACATGCAAGAAAGCGAGATTGCACAGATCCGTATTTTCCTCAATGGTCTTGGAATAATCTAACAAAATGAATGATTATTTTTATAGAAAGAAGCGCACATACTTTCCACAATTCTTTATGCGCTGGAAGTACTTGAATCATCGTCCGAATGGTTAATATCAATTATTACAGGTTCAGTTTGAATATTGATCGTATTGTCCAGATCCCACATCTTTGTTTAAATTGTCTCTTGAACGTGACGGATGCAATCTTACGGTTTGCCGTCACTCTGTTGACAGCTTCATACAATTTTTCACGTCAAAAAATTTGAATATCATATTGTTTGAAGCCGCATAGTTTTTTATATTTGCCCAAAGCATTTCAGTGGGATTTAATTCGCAGTGAAAAGGGGGAAGCCTTAAAAGGGGCTTATTTTGGTTTTTAGTCATTAAGATTATATTTATATTTGTGCTGCCGGACTAGATGGCCAAGTTCTGCGTTGACCATATTTTCATTGAAATGAATGTCTGTTAACAGGAGCCATTGTTGGATTTCTGCCTTTCTTCACGTCAGTGTGGGAATTTTTTCTAGTTTTATCAAATACAATGACGGCATTGTCGTCAAGCTTTGGGAGCAATTCGTCAAACCATGGTTCAAATGAACTCCCGTCCATTTCTTCATGGTAGTCGGTCGTTTTCTTTGACTCAAATGCCCATAGGGCAGTGGGCCCAAAGCCATCTTCACTGTCAATGTGACAGATAACAAATCATTTTCCTTTTCCTGGAAATAATTGTTTCATACAGTATTCAAGAAAACTAATAATAATGCAAGTATCTAACAGGTGTTGGTTCCAAATCTACCAAATATAGCTAGCTTTCCGTACGACAAGAGGCGCTAAGCGTTTTTAAAACCTAGCGCTTTCAAGCCAAAGAACGAGAATACCGGTCCAGGTCGCGGTATCTCTTTATTGATTTTAAATAGTTTCTTCCCCATAAAATAATCTCTTGGCTGTCCATCAAAATACTATTTCTGCCCGGTTTCTATACTCAATATGAGGTTCATTGAGTAAACCATAGAATATGGTCCTTTTGAAGGAAGGTAAGTCTTCATCACTGTACTACTTTGTCCATGGTGAGAAGTTTCTGCCTTTCAAAAAATTGATGGATTTTGCGTCTTATGGCATTCCGATCAAAGTTATCAACTGTATCCAACAGCTATGTGTAATGCAGCCTCTTGTGTGGTGGAGACATTTCTTTGGTAAATGAAAACTAATATGGTATATTTTCAGAATAAAAAGTCGCAGTGCTACATCGATTTGAAGATTGACCTAACGCCTTTTGACAGGCTGTTGATGGGCGGTTGTCTCGCGGCTGGCCAAACGTCAGCAGAAATAGCCTGGCAGCGCGTAGCAGAGCGAGTTTGAGTACGCGGAGTCCTTAGCTGTTTCATGGACCGAGGGAGGATCCTTCTATGAAACAAGTTTGACACTGGAGTGATCCTGCTAGTCGCAATTTGTATACCTTGGAACGGGCTTGCTCATAAGGTGCCGCCGTTTTATTTATCGGAATACATAAGGGAGGTATTGTAAATTGTAATCCTACAAGATTTGACACGTCGTCCCAATTCTTACATCATATGGAATATTTAAAGTGGGTACGGGAAACTTGATACGTAGCTAAGTGGCTTTGTCAGAGCTCGCCTTGCTCTCTCTGATCGCAACACACTTTTGGCAATTACGGAAAATCCCTATAAATTGCGATTTGTAGTTATATTATACTGCGAGTTTTTGAAAAAACGACTCATATAATATTTATATTAAGATTTTCAGTAGCTAATCTTTCCTAAGACCTGCTTTGCGATGCCTCTCCAGTAGTTGTTCTGCCATCCCCATTTTTTACGCAGAAAACGACTGACACCCCCAGCACTTCAGCGAGAAAAATCCCTGTTTACGCAATTTGTAGCTAAATTGTACTGCGAGTCTTAGGAAAAACGACTTATAATAATATTTTCAGTAGTTATCCTTTTCTAAGACCTGCTTTGCGATTCCTGTCCAGTAGTTGTTCTGGCATCCCCATTTTTGTAACCCAGAAGACGACTAACACCACCAGGGCTGCAATCAGGCTGAGAATTTGATCGACGCGTATAAGGATTTTGCGGTGTTTCCATGAATTCCAGATTTATATCCTGAGTCTTTCAAATATTATCATTAACCACATCTATTAAAGGATATGACAACATAACTGTTACTCTTGCACTGCCTGTATGCATTTATAGAAAAAACAAGTAAATTAATATTTATCTTCTCCATATTCTCTTGGTGAATAAAAATAGAATGCTCAATAAAGTACAGCTGTCCACAAAAAAACCAAAGAAAATTATCCGTATGGCGGCCGCGTAAGTTGTTCGCAGATAAAACTTAAAATGGTGCGGAAAAGTATATCTGAAGCGGATCCAATTTTCCGCATATTAGCCATATCCTTGTCAAAGCGAAGATGGAACACTAAAAATGAATTTTCCCCTTGGAGTATATGCTTATTTATTACAGCAGTAAATTCTGAGACACCATATAGTCCTCCTTGGTCGAGACACAGAAAGGGCACAAAGCACCCTGCCAGAAAAGATGAGTCATCCTACTACAAGGTTTGTAGATTTCATGGAGCATTTGGCTCTTCCCCAATATTGTCTGACTATGAAACTACTCCTTACAGGTCATTAACATGCTTAATGTGGTGACCTCATAGCATAAACATGACCTAAAAAGGCATCTTGGGATACTTCTGCCACAGAGGGCGCTGAAACAAATACTAAATACCAATATAATGAGGTTACAGATTTTGAAAGCAAAAACTTTGTAATTAGAAAAACCAAGACTTGAAGTAACAGCAGTGAAAACGTGAAAAAGAAATTCATTTGGTAAGAAATTTCAGGTATTGGCCTACGACAGGTTGCATCTGGATACTGTTTGACGTTGACGCCCTTTAATGCCAAAGCACAGGTCGGTTACCTTTTTTCTAGAGCAGCATTCGAGGCTGCCTGTTTTACTCCGTCCACCTCGACGACATCTGCACGATACCAATGAACTTCGCGGTTCGGGTCAGAAACATTGAAAAAATACACTCGCAAAATATCAATAGAAACTTAAAGGCACTCACCGGGAACTAATATTTAATCGATAGTGACTCATCCTCATAATACCACACTTGAAAATAATTAAAATACCTGGTATTTCAAATTCATCTCTCATCATTGGAATCCCGGAGACGCGGAGAGATATGAAGTCTGGAGATATAGTAGATGAAAGAAAATTTCCCAAAATCGTTTTTATTTTTTTCCTGGCTTTTTTTTAGACGAAATTTTAAAATAAAAAGCAAAATAACTTGCCACTGTTTCTCCTCTACAAAAGAGCACAGTCAGCATTTAAATATGTCGTCGTCTGTAGTCCTCAATCTTCAACTTTATTTTTTCTTATGGACGTCATATTGGATTTTAGCACACATAAATAGTTTTTAATTCTCATCTTCAAAATGTAAAATATGCCTTAGTTATTTCTAAAAACAGAATAGCCTAAGTGGGCCTTGAAATTCTCATTCAGTTATTTGTTTTATAAATAGAAATGAAGACGAGATAGTGTCTACTAGAAAATCTATGCAACTTTATGCCACTACAGTGGTGATGATACATGAAGAAGTAATGAGCAATGATATAGTTTTCCAGTTAAGAAATGACTTCGATAACTGTGCTTATTTTTCACTGCAGCTGGATAAATCTACAGATGTCGTTGACACCTCTCAGATGGCCGTGTTCGTCAGGATGGTTTTTAGTGATTTTACGATTAAAGAAGATCTTTTGAAGTGTATTCTACTAAACGGACAGACTATTGTGCAGGCCTTGTTTTATTCTTTTAAAAATATGATGTCTTCTTCGAAAATGGCAGGCTTG